GGCTCCGGGAACACGACAGAGAACCGAGAAACCCAGGAAGGAACACACCAGCCTAGATGGTAAAGAGACCTTTATTAGTCTGGCCAGACGGCACTCCCGGAGCCAGGTGGCTCAGAGAGGCAACTGCTCAGGGGCTGAGGTACTTTTTATAAGGTTTTTCTAAACAAAGAGTCAGGGAATTCACAGAACAAGACTGCAAACACATTGCTTATCTTATGCAGGAAATGTTCTACGGTCACCTTTTGTCATACCATTTGCCCCTGCACGGGCTGTTAACCAAGGTAGTAATTAGCATATGAAGAAGCACAGTCTGGCCTATTAGCATGGAGTCACTTTAGCCTATTCAAGTCTTACAGTAGAGCCAAATATTTTGAAGTGCTTTTAGGACAAGATTTTTGCAACTATTTTGATTTAAACAGTGATGGAAATGTGCTGCAGCCTAATATCAATATTTGAGGTTTTTCTTTTTTTACTGTCAAGGACAATGATTATAGTTAAAATTAAATGACACTGTAAGACTTAAAAGTCTCACTTCCACTCCACGGAGCGTGAACAGCCGAAAGGGCCTTCACGATGCTGAGTCCTATAGCCCAGCGATGGCTCGGGAGGCAAGACCCAGGGCCTTACTTCCAGAAGCCGTGAACAGCCAAAAAGGCCTCCACGATGCTGGGCCCTAACACCCAGCGAGGCTCCGGGAGCTCGACGGAGAAACGAGAAACCCAGGAGGGAACACACCAGGCTAGATGATAAATAGACCTTTATTAGTCTGCCCAGACGGCACTCCTGGAGCCAGGTCGCTCAGAGAGGCAACTACTCAGGGGCTGAGGTACTTTTTATAAGGTTTTTCTAAACAAAGAGTCAGGGAATTCACAGAACAAGACTGCAAACACATTGCTTATCTTATGCAGGAAATGTTCTACGGTCACCTTTTGTCATACCATTTGCCCCTGCACGGGCTGTTAACCAAGGTAGTAATTAGCATATGAAGAAGCACAGTCTGGCCTATTAGCATGGAGTCACTTTAGCTTATTCAAGTCTTACAACACAACAAATAATGGTGATATTTGGACCATATGTTATACATGTATTATGCTTGGTAATTTCTAACTATTTGAAGCAGAAAATTCACAATTCTTCTGTTTAAGTTGAAAATGATACTAATGAAATGAAGATCATCAGTTTCTTCCAGCCCTTCCCTACACATAGAATAAAATCAAGACCTGTGTCTTCTGTCAGTCATGTTGCCATTGTATCAAAGGACATACTGATATTTCACTGCAGAGGCTGTAATTATTCTCTTCAATTTTTACCAGATAGCGTTTGATAAAACCACATATCCAGCTGTACCATTTTGTCACTTACAAATTTATCCGTAGATGTTTCTTTTTTTTTTCTGGATTTCCCAAGATAATATTCATAATCTGTAGCTTGTTTTTTAAGTCTTTATGGCTCTCCATGGCCAAACTTCTTCTGATATTTGAAAATATCAAGGAATACAAGTAAATATTTCAATTTTGCTTGCTGAACTAAGTTTTGTCTTACAGCCAATGGTAAGAAAGCAATAACTGCTGTGAATTCATTTAAGAAATATTTTTGAGTATCATCTCTGTGCCAACAACATAGACACTCAGCATCCATCAGTGAGTAAAAGCAGGCAGACTTGCCTTCACGATGCTGTCATCTTGCAGAGTTGAGGCACACTGTAAACAAAGGTGTAAAGCAAAAGAGAAATGAGGAACATATTCTAAACTGCCTATCACTTCCTAGAAGGCCTATTTCTGGTTTTGGGGTTTTGTTTTGTTTTTTCTTACAAAATGTGAAGGCAGAGATCGGTGTCTGTACAGTGTTGTATTGGGTAAGGACAGAGGTTCTGGGGCCCAGCTGCCTGTGTCCAAGTCCGGACCCTGCCAGCTCTAGAGCAGCACCTGCAACCGACAGGTCATCTTGTATTGTTTATTTTATCACATCATCTAAGTCCTTTCTATTTTGCCATTTGCTACCATTTCTGCATTTCTTTTGTAATTTAAATATATTATTCTTCCTATTCTTCTCTTCTTCCTCTTCCTATTTTTGTTATGATTCTTTGTACCTATTTCCTTTTAATGATTTCCACATTCTCATCTTTCTGGTGACCAGCTCCTACATTTTCCTCTTGTTGTTCCCTCTTCAGTTCATCACCATTCTACTTTTATTGTAAAATATTTTTGTGTTTTATTTTTATAGCATTCTCTTGTCCTGCTATTGTTACTTCATTGTCAACTGTTGTCTTACACATTCATCCATCTCATTATTTTTATTACCATATCATTTTCAGGTATTTTCTGGACACTGAAAACAGAGTGATGCATAAAATAAACAAAACTCCCTAATTTATGGAATTTCTGTCACTCTCCTTCTAGTCTCTAATGCCTTCCTTCTCTGCACATCACATTTTAACTCCACATTATTGCACTTTTTCTTTCTTCTGAGAAGTACTTCATCTTCTCATAGTATATTAAGGTCCATATTTGTTGATAGACCTGCTAGATTTGTAATCCAGACCTAAGGGGAACTCAGACCTCCACTATAATTTTTCTGAAAGGAACAAAGTTACTTTTATTATAGATTATTTTGAACCTCTTTGCTTTATTCAAGAAATAGCCTGCTTTCTTTTATTTGTTTTCCATTCACTCATCCACCCATTCATTCATTTAAATTCTTCCTTATATCAAAGCTTAAGGTAAGGAGGAGGGGCTACCTAACACTTCTTCTAACCCTGGCCATGCTCTTTATCTTGTTGAAACTCAGTGGTCACTGGGGGCTGGGATGTGCATGAAGGCCTGACCAGTATTCAGTAAACAAAAGCCCTTCTCCAAACTTCGGGAGAGCCCTTTTGTCTATTTACTCTTCCTTTTCTGTCTCTAGTTTTGTACTACCATGTAATCATTTGTGCTTCTGCCATTGCCAAAATTAATTGCTATAATGAAACATAAATACCTAGTCAATTCCTGCTTCCTTGGCCTTGTCTTATGTAAGATAATTGTTTTCTCGAAGTTGTCACTGAGGACCATCATCCTGTATTGGAGAATTGAATTCTGTGGGGAACCGAAATTTCCAGTCCAGTTCTTTGCTCCTTTGGAATGTGAATGCATTCTTTTCCTTTGAATTAATATAAGCACTTTGGACCCTGATGCTTAACCTCTAATTGTGTTGATTTCCCCTGTGGCGGTAATGATATCATTTTTTCCCCCCAGGCAGCTCACCAGCCTATTCATTGCTTACTTTCCTGAGGTCTAGCTACACAATTTGCACGAGTGTGTGTGTGTGTGCATCCATGTGTGTGTGCATGCGCGTGTGTGTGTGTGTGTGTGTGTGCATCCATGTGTGTGTGCATGCGCGTGTGTGTGTGTGTGTGTGTGTGCATCCATGTGTGTGTGCATGCGCGTGTGTGTGTGTGTGTGTGTGTGCATCCATGTGTGTGTGCATGCGCGTGTGTGTGTGTGTGTGTGTGTGCATCCATGTGTGTGTGCATGCGCGTGTGTGTGTGTGTGTGTGTGTGCATCCATGTGTGTGTGCATGCGCGTGTGTGTGTGTGTGTGTGTGTGCATCCATGTGTGTGTGCATGCGCGTGTGTGTGTGTGTGTGTGTGTGCATCCATGTGTGTGTGCATGCGCGTGTGTGTGTGTGTGTGTGTGTGTGTATGCCGAGAAAGGGGCTCCCTGTGTTGTCCAAGCTGGTATTGAATTCACTCTCAGGTGTCTTCCCATCTCAGCCCTCCTGCACGGTTAGGACTACAAGTGTGTGCCTGGACGTTGGCTTGAAATTTATTTTTCCGATGGCACTCAACACACAATATAAAGGATTAGGGAAAGATAGTGATTAGAGGGCTAGCAATTATTCTCTACTGTAAGATGTTATCTACTTCAAGAACATCAACTGGTATCCACTTAATAGCACAACCTCTAAGAATTCAGTAAAAGAATTGGGCTTGTTTAAGCATCATTTTCTGGGTATTGAAGGCTTTGGGCCCCCAGTCAATCCTTTGACTGCCGTTTCTTCAGGTCATGGATGGTCGTCATTCCATCACCATCCTCTCCTGTAAGATGGTTCACACTACACTGCTGTCCGGTTTCTCCAACAGCTTCACTTTCTGCACTAAGGAAAAACAAGTGCTTCTTTTCTTTAACCACTGTTGCCCATAGGGATTACTGCACTTAAGAATAAAATTTATAACCATATCTTCACAGTACAGATCAGAGAATAAGCATAAAAGCAAACAAAAACCCACAATGAGCAATGCATGTGGCTCTTGTCTGCGTGTGCAGCACTGTGAGATCAGTGTCAATGTGTCCATCCCACACACGTGCCACCTTGTTACCCCTTGTGGCCACCACTTTTATTGCTGTTTGTGGACATGCTTACACAGGGGCCTCTGGGCTCTTGCAGCTGCAGGGGAACAGAAGGGAATTTCTTTCCCCCTGGGGATTCTGAATAAACTATAAGTTAGTTGTACATGTGTATTTTGAATGCAACCTGTCAAATGAGATCTGATATGGAAGTTTCCACTTGTGGTGTCAGGTCAGAGTTCAACAAGTTTGGGATCTTGAAGTGTTGCAGATTTCAGATTTTCATACAAGAGCTGCTCAGCCAGTATTCTTTGGAATCTTGAGAGCAAAGACGTGACATCTGCAGGCTGGCATGAAGGGTACATTTTCATAAAGGTTTATACATATTGTAAAATCTTCCCAAATTCCCTTTGGCCTTACTGTTCACTCAGCTGCTCTAACACGCACAAGGTTATATTTTCAAATGCAGCTGTTAATATAAATTGTTGAGGTTTTTCTTCTGAGACTTTATCCTGTGATCTTGTGTTATTATTATGAGACCTTGTCAGGGTTTGGGAGAGGGCACTTATATATCTTCATAATACTCATAATGCCCCAGAGTGGCAAGGGGCCCTAGTTCCCTGAAAATTTATTAAAAATGATGAAATTTTTTCCTCTCTTTCACATTTTTTGCAGGATTATTGGCCCAGAGAAATCAGTTGGCCAGATAATGAAGCGTGGACATACACTCTGAAAAAAATAAAAGAAGATAGTTCCTTTACTTCAGTTTATACTCAGCTATGGAATGACGTCCCCCGGATATTTGAGGCGATCATAATCATGGAGTCAAGATTAAAGGAATGCTCGCTTCTTCTGCAAGACCATGCCTCCATATTGTTTGAGCTGACCAGCATGATTTCCAAGACAAGTAAGCCTTCAGTTTTTACGTGACTAGAGTAATGCTGAGCTGTGGGTGTGTGTTTCTGTGTATTAGTCTATCTGCTGCCTCTGCGTGTTCGTGTAAAGAATGAGATCTCGATGTATAAAATCTTAAAACCAAAAATTATGTCTTATTTTAAGATGGGTCTGATTTTTAGACTTGGCTGAACATAAAAATATGTTGTTCCAAGGAAACTGTTATGAGGGAAACGACTAGAACAGTTACAAACTTCGTTAAACTGGGGTGGAGGGAGCAAAAATCGGAGATAAACTGACATCATGAGAAATAAGCAAGTCCACAGGGTCAGGATAGAAGAACAGAAATCTACAAAACCAGAAGTAATAGGAGTGTGAGTTGATCTACATGGGCTGAGTTGTAGGTTTCTAAGAGTCCTTAGTGTGCAGCTCGAGATCAGTGAATTGAGTGAAAAGTGTATCACAGAGCAGGACAGTGTTTCGTTTTCAGGACTTTTATTCTTGTCAAGTTGTACTGAACTTTATTCTTGTCCATTGTATTGATTAACACTTGCAGGGCAGTTTTAAATACTAATGGCAATTCTTGTCTTATTGATTTAATGGGAATATTTCTCCTATAGAAGCCTTGAAACTGATGATATTGGCTATAATTATAAAGTATTTTTATATATTAAATATATTTGCTAGCTGCAGTCTTTAGTTATTTAATATACTTTCTGGCTTTAGATTTTTCAAAGTCTGCAAATATGCTCACACTAGTATTAAATTCACTCTTACATTTTCATGTTTTAAACATTTTATCAATTTTTAAATTTATGTAAGCCATACATATATATACTCTTGAAGTATATTAGTATATATACCCGATATGTGTATATATGTATATAAACTGTATATACACACATATACATGTATGTGAAATGAATACAAACATTATTCTTTTTGAAAAGAAAAAAATCTACAAAAGAAAAATATGAATATATCTCTTTATAACTTTCTCCTTCTTCTAAAAAGTTTTACATATATTCAGTGTCTTCAAATGTAGAGATCAGAGATTAAAGTCTAAGTTTGTGGCTTGAAAGTCCCCACAGTCTTTCCTTCGGCCATGCACAATAGTATAGCACTTTCCTGAATTTAAGTTAGCTGTGCAACAACAGAAGCTAAGTGTCTGCACTGTCTGAAAAATGCAGGCCTGTCTCGTAGAGATTGGCTGAGATAAAACTTTACATATAGAAATGAGTTCTGTAGACTGTTAGGGACAGAGTATTTCAGAAAAATTAAAGGAAACTGGAGATATAAAATATTTCGAATTTGTTAAGAACATGTCTAATATTATACTTAACAAAATCACTAGTTGATCCCATTAGATAATTTTATTTATAAATTGTAGCAGTATTTAGAGTTTTCTTCACTTTTAAAGGATGTATGATATGAATTCTTTTTTTAAAGGTTCTTATGAAAAATTGCAACGATACAAGGCATTTCCAAAGAAATACCAGAAACAAAAGAAGATAATGGTATGGTAGTTATGTTTTTATATCATCCTTCAAAAATTGTATTTTCCCAAAAAAATATAAACTGTCATTCCATAGATAAGCACTGATAACATTTTCAAAAATGTTCTTTTAGACTTTAGCATTTTGTTTCTCTGTGTTTTGAAATAGCTACATTCATTTCTTTTTATATACTCAGTATGTTAGCATCTTCATAACATTACAAATTTTTAATTTAATTTAAATTTTCATTAGTACACATTTTATTAGTACAATTTCAAAGTACATAATGATTGTGTTCATTATGGGAAGTTGACTCACGTACATAACACATCTTAGTTCTTTTTACATCCTCTTCCCCTTCCTTCTCTTCTCTATGCTGCAAATTTTGATTTATTTTAATGTATATATTTTGCACTTTGTTGTCTTAATAATTTGCGACATGCTTAGTAGTGCAGGTCGGATGTCAGTCCTCCTTCATGTAGGGATGAACAGCTCTCTTTGTGATGTTTACATTGTATTCAGAGTTTTAAATCTCCTTAAGATTTTCATTATAGTTATCATAGGCTTTTAGTTATTGACATATACTTAGTTCTTTTCAAAAATACATTCTAAAATTAGTCTTAAGACTATAATACCAAGTGTCTGTTACCATTAGACCACCTGCCTCATTTGACGTTTTTTAGTTGCAAAATAAGTTTTATTCTTCATTGTAAGTTAATAATGTCGTAATTGTAGGAAACAAAAAGTAGATAAAAATTAGCATTATAATCTCATCACTTATAAATCATATCACTCTTCATTTTCATTTTTGTTTTATAGAAAAATCAGGTTAAATTACATTTTCTAATTAACTATATGCATTATTAAATTTCCATGAGTAACATTCTGTATCATTTTAAAATGTGTGTTTCATAAATAAACTATCGTAATGGCCCTTTTGTTGGACATTTAGTTTAGTTTTCACTATTCATTATCATTCACAAAGCTGTTGTCAAAATATTTGAGCCAGTGATTGTGCTTATCCATGATTACTGAGATAAGCTTCCAGAAGAGGGACCCCTGGGGGAGGAACTGATATTCCACATGTTCTGATATGCAGTGCCATATTGTTCTCTGGAAAGCACCAATTCTTATTTTTATCAATAGTTTGTAATTTATACCTCACTCATCCTCTCGCCAACAATAAATATTTTTCAATGGTAACTTGAAGGCAACATCTTCAATTCAAGTAACTCAACTGAAAAGTGTTTTTGGCTATGTTGAATTTTATATTTTTATGACTATATAATTTTTTTCTAAAAATTTCTCTTTGGGGACACAAACTTTCCCAAGGATTTCTTTATCACATGCTTGCTCACAGGTATAGTCACATATCTCTCTTTGTATTATCCTTTTTTTTTTTGTTTTGTTTTTTGAGACAGGGTATCACTATGTAGTTGAGACTGACCTGGAACTCACTATGTAGTCCAGGCTAGTCTCGAACTCACAGCGATCCTCCTGTCTCAGCCTCCTAAGTGCTGGGATTACAGGCGTGAGCCACCACACCCAGCTTGTATTATTCTTATAATATTTAAAATATTTAATTCTTTGATCCACCGGATATTTATTTTTGTGTAAGGTAATATAATTGTAAATACATTATTTTAAATGCATCAGTTTGCCATGTTCCATCTTCAGCTCACTGTTTTTTTGAGTGAAGAATTGTCTTGGGCTACATACAAAATATAAAGTTAACATTTAAGTAATGAAACTTTCATTTCTAAAAATACTTTTTATTGTAATATTTAAGAAAGAAAAATAGGCTGCATCTTGGGCTATTTTAAACATTTGTTATTCTATTTTTTCCTGTTACTTAAATTTTCACTAATAATGTCAGTGAGATTATTTTCCCATTATGTTATTAAATAGTTTATTATTGGTTTAAGATATGGTTGCCTTTTCCAAAACTGTTTTGGTTTCAAAATCATACTAATCCTAGAAAATGAGGTACTTAGCTTTACTTCTCTTTCTACCCCAAGATAATTTGTAGACACCATTTGTCTTTGAATGTTTGGCAAAAGTTACCTGTAAACTTCCATTGATTTGTTTATCATTCATATTGTGCAGGAGGGAATGGTTAGGTTGGTTTTAAAAAACTATATGGAAATTACTAATTACACATAAATAGAACTTGAGTAGAATGAGAAAACCTAATATTGAGTGAAAAAAGCAAGCTACAAAATAAAATATATAGTTTTCTTTACATTTAAAACACACACAAACAGTCTCTTGTGTGGTGGTATAAAAGTATTTGCAATGAAATGAAATGGATACAAACCAAAAAAATTAAAGTGACTTTCTCGAAGAAGAGGGAACACAGAACTAGAGATCCTGTTGTAGTAGAATCCAAACTTTATTATATAAACTTCACATTTTATTTTCAAGTTGTAGTCTTTTTTTTAAAGTTAGGGGAGTTTTTATTGGAAATAAGGAAGAGGAAAAAAGAAAAAAGAAAAAGAAAAGAAAACCTCTGGGTTTCTTCAGGAGGAGAATCCGAAAAGTGGAGCTTCTACATGATCCCTTGGTCCAGAACCTTTCGTGGATAAACAGAGCGTATAGCATCGCTCAGTTGTTCAGTGGCCACCTCTCACAGATGACTGGATTTAAAATGATGAACTGGAACTCAGGATCTCTAACCCTGTTACTCAGCATGTAGGGCTGAAAGGAAATAGGGATTTTAGAGAAAAAACTGGCTATTTCACATTTCAGGAGGGAGTGGCTGCACCTCCCTTAGTAAGGAGTGGGCTGCATTCCATGTTGCCTGAGGAAGTTCATTCTTGTTCCAAAGTCTTAGTTCACTGTCTGTTCTTATTTTCATTCCTATCCGTTTGGCTGATTGCCCAACTGTATCTCAGGCCCTTTCCCTAGCTAGCTGCCTTACTCATAAGCTAAATAAATAAAAAGAAGTATCCTTTTAGGAAAGAAGAGGTGAAGACTTGCTAAAAGGGGTCAGTGTAGGGGCTGTCAGTCAGAAATTTTCTCCAGAGAGCTAATCTAAGGGGACTTCAAAGAAGTCATATTGGGGTTCAGCAGTTATGGACTTTCATCAGAGGGTTGATCTAGCAGACCCCAGTAAAAGGGCACATGCATCACTGTTTCCATCTACATGGTGTTTTTAGATCTACTAACATGATCACCAATGCAGGAATGTATAGCCTTACCTTGAAAGAAAAAGGCCAGCCTGCCCTGCCAAAGTAGCATTTTGGAAGGGGGAAGAAGGACTGAGAATATTCCCTAGTTCCCAGCCCTACTCTAAGAGAAGGAAGACAGATTGGGACTAAAAATTTCTCAGGGTAAGTTTCTCTGGTCTTTAATAAATAAGCCTCCAGGGGCCAGGGATTTAGCTCAGTGGTTCTGCTGCCTGCCTCGCAAGTGCAAAGCCCCAAGTTTGATCCCCAGTACCAAAAAAACAAAACAAATAAATAAGCCTCCAAAAAAGGAGAAAGAGAAAAAACAGCAGGAGAAAGTTGGCATGAAGAGGGATTGATTAGCAGTGAGATTCTTGTCCTCCCCAGCTTGCAGTGAGTTAATGGAACAATTCACCCAAGAGATAGCATTCTCAGGAAACTGTGATCAAGTGTATCAAGAGCTAAAACTGCTCCCACACCCGCAGAGGATCAAATTGGAAAGGAAAGTGAGGTAGAACAGGCTGGACATTGCCTCCCAAGGTGTGTGTGTGTGTGTGTAGACTGCCCCAGTGAAGCCTGTCCCCTGAGATTTAAGGGCAGTAGCCTGCACAGATCACCTTTTACAAAGTTGGATGATAGGATCTTGCATTTTTATATGAGGCATGTGTTTCCCAAATCTATCCTACCACCAGAGAAATGATAGAAGAAACATAAGGCTATCTGGGAAAAAAGGAAGCAAGCACAAATTTCACCTGCCTCCTACCTCCTAAATGTAGCATTTAACAAGAACATATTGCAAGAAGAGAAAGACAACAAAAAACTGTCCATTTGGGACTTAACTCCTATTAACTGCAAATCTCAGTGGGACCTCCAAAATATGAAAAGTTAATTCAGTATAAACTGAGCTTGTGGTCTCACAACATTCACAAATGAAGTTGTGAACAAAAGGAGGAAGTTAGAGCTTTTATTGGAAATAAGGCGAAGGAAAAAAGGCTCTTGGTTTCTCCAGAAGGGGGATCCAAAAAGTGGAATTTCCCTACAGCTGTAGTCTTGAAGCAAATGTTAAAATATCAACAGTAACCAATTCTAGGATGTAAGAACATTGGTATTTATATTATTCATTATATGTTATATTCAAAAGGAGTTTTAAAACATTCACTGCAGGGCTGGGGATTTCGCTCAGTGGTTCAGTGGCCTGCCTTGCAAGCACAAGGACCGAGTTCAATCCCCGGTACCAAAAAAAAAAAACCAAGCTTTCACTGTTGAATTTTATCAGATGACTTTTCAGGATCTGTTGAAATTACCTTTAGAAAAACTATATTAACAAAAATTTAATAAATAATATTATTGTTGAATACGTTTTACTGGATTAATTGAGAGTTTTAAAAATTTTGTTTTAAATGTTTACCAGCTTTCTGATGAGATGGAGACGGAGAAGAATATAGAGGTATTTGAAACTTTTATTCTGCCCAATTGTCTATCAAAAGTATTATTTGGTTCTAAAAAGAATGTTTATAATAATATAGATGTAGTTATATGCATAGAGGTTCCAGGAAAGAGAGTTGGTAACAGACATAGCAACTTCCTCTTTTCTGCCCAGTTCATATTTCTTTGTATATAGTCTTGCTAAAATAAAATTCTTGATCATTTGAGTATCTGTCAAAATTAATTCTGAAATATGATTTTATTTTGCTTTTGACTAGGCCTCTGGGTTTGGCCCGTAATTATACAAGGGCTCTTAATTTCACACAGAAGTAGATAATACAAAGATAATTTTGTAGGAGGGATGTATATTTTTTACTTAATATAGCAACATAAAATTGTTGCCAGGTGAGTGGCAGTTAAATATTTACGTCTCTTCTATAGTCATATGAGACTACTTTACTAAGGATGAAATAATTGTTTTGTATTTCCTTTTTTTCTAGGGTTACAACTTCTCAGGATTCAACACAAGTGCAGTTACTGAGTTACCTAGACATTTGGATGCAAAACGAATTTATCTTTTTATTTTAAAAGCTCATAACTTTGATGTATGTAAATATCATTTTATTTTTGTTTTACAATAAACCTTGAGAATATGATTTATTGAATCAAACCTTTGAAACTATGGTAGTTTGGTGTTAAGGAAGATTTGATCCTTTAGGCTTTAAATTTTTCGGGAGAGACCAGTGATATCTAATACCCTGCTCACCAGAAGAGTGGTATTAGATATCATGTCAGTCTGAGGGTAACAGTGAGTGATGGACAGACAGGACCATACAGGCACTTTTCTCTCTCCCTTCCTCTCCATCAGCTCAGGATAAGTTAGCTGTCTACTCTGACCCTGGAGTAACTTATGAAAGCCCTTCTCCACAAGCCTTCTGTATGTTCTTTTAAATATAGGGTTTTTGTGTAGTACTTTTTCAATATAGGATTTCAAATGATGAAAATCTGAAAGAATAGAAAGGTAACCAGAACCATGGTCAGGACTGCCAGGAATAGGATGGGGCTGTGGTGGTTACTGGTAAACCTGCTTATTTTCCCCTCTGTATTTCAGTTGTATTGTATTTTCTACTTTTTATGTTATATACATCATATAGTTCCTTTGTAGTTAAAAATGACTAAATCTAAGTTAAAACTGTTACTAGTGAAGTCCATGCTATATTTAGTGGCCTGTGAACGAGTGCCCCACTGAATATATGATAAAGAGTTCTCCTGTTATACAAATTTGCATTATGTCTTTTTTGTTGACTTGCATTTGAGATTACATTTATCTATATTCCACTAATAGAAATGTTGAATTCTACTGAATCCAGGATTTAAAAATTTTTGTGAATAAGAACACAATAAGATGATCTGTTGAATCTACATATTTAAACCAAAATGTATCATTTCAAGTATTATAGTAAGTAGATTATGTACCAATTTTGATGAGTTGTCTGCTTAGGAGAACCCCATGTTTAGACAAATTCATGAAGGGGATCTATTGGGATAGAATTCTGTGATTCCTTGTCAACATTTGCCTTCAAGAAAAAAAGAGGAGGAATTGTGACATGCATTTTCCATTTTTGTCTTTCTCAGTCTGTCCTATACCATTTTTTCAATACCTCTAACCAATTTGAGCATTTGAAATGTAGCCAGTGTGACTAAGGACCTGGGTTTGTTATTTTATTTCTTCAATTTAAATACAAGTTTAAAAGTTAGAATGAGTTATTTAAATTTTTTTCAGTTATGTTTGGAATGGAGTAACGACTGTGCAGTCTAAACAGCAGCCTAGTACTTCTTGATGAAAATAGTTGATAAATGCTGTAAATTGAGATATACTATAAAAGACATACTTCAACACATACAATTTCAATGATCTAGTATTAAAAAGAATAAAAAACGTCTCATTACTTATTGTTATATCAATTATATGGTGATGGAATTTTTAATATATTTGATTAAATAAAATATATCCTTAAAATTAATTTTACTGTTTAGTTTTTTAATGTATCTACTAGAAAATGTAGTATTATATGTATATGACTGATGCTAAATATTGTTGAACAGTACTGGTCTATTACCATTAAATAGATGTATGAGGTATATTTGTACTAACATGTGTTGTTATAGATTTACATTTCATATCCATGTAGCTCTTTTTTTCCACAGGAAAGAGTTTTTAGAATTTGGAAGACTCATTTCCTCTCTGAAGCCTCCATTGCTCTTTTACGTGACTGCTTTTGGTGGTGGTTTCTCTACAAGTTTAAGGTAAATAATATTTTTAAACTTCTTTTTTAGGAGTCAATTTGTGCCATAGTTACTTTTCTAGTAGAGGCAATACTGATATAAAATGTTTTCTGTGTATTTTCACAGAGATTCATTTTTAAATATTCCATACATGTTAAAAATTTTGTTTATTGTCTTTTTTCACGGGAGTTGAGGCTTTACTCTGCACTTCCAAGATACTAAATCTTCATTACTCAGAAAAAGATTAGTGAAGTCAAACACTGTAGTGAGTAATAAAGTCGTAGCTTTCCTTCACAGTAGTATGTGGTGGTAAACACTTACTACAAAGCCTGCTGCAAATCTGTGACATTGGAGGAGGTTCAGTTCGGAAGAGAGTCTACAGATCAAATTGAGACAAGGTCTTGTCTGGATCCAGAAAGGTGAAAATTCTGACTAGGCTTGAAAAGAAAAAGGAGGGCATGCTGTCTGGCAAAAAATAAGAGAATGGAAATAAGTAGTGCCTGAGGCAGTATTTTACTTGAAGAATTTCAGTCAGCACAGTGTATACTTAAAACTTGTTCTTGGATCCCTAAAAAGAAACAAATAGCTGGAAAATACATCACTCCCTATCATACAACAACAACAGTAACAACAAAAACTACATAACATAGAAAGTCACGATATTTTTGAACTCATTGTACAAAGATTTCAAAGCAGTTAATATATTACCAGGGATAAAGGAAGTAATCACACGATGACAACATGGCCAGTTTACTAAGATAACAGAACAAACCTAAATATTTAGGCACCTCATAAAATGCTTCAAAACACACTTAATAAAAACTTTTAATACTTAAAGGAGAAATAGAACCATTGGTATAGTTCAAGGTTTCAGCACCTCGCTCTCAGAAACTGGTCGAATGTACAGAAAATCAGAATGGCTAGAAGACTTCAACAACGTTGGCGAACAGCTTGCCCTGACGTTTCCGAGGCATGCCTCCTGTCTCAATGCATTTGGTGTTGCTAAAACAGAATACCACAGGGTAGGTAATGTGTATGAACAAATATCTGTTAGTTTACGTTGACGGGAAGTCCTAGATCTAGGGGCTGGCGCCTGGTGAAGGCCTTCTTGATGAGTCTTCTCATGCTAGCAGGCAGAGGGAAGGATGGGAGGAGAAAGAGAAAGAGATTGTGAAAGTGACAGAGGTCAGCTCACTCCCATGACAACCGCAGTAATTCAGCAGTGCGTCCCATGACCCAGATGCCTCCCGTGAAGTCCCATCTCAACGTCAGCACATGGGGGATCCGGTTTCCAATACACGAACCCCCACAGAGGGACACATTCAAACCACAGCATCTCCCAACAATAGCAGAATACATATATACATATTTTTGTAAATACATATTAAATATTTACCAAGATAAACTCTATTCTAAGCTAGGAGAACATCCTGATAAATTTCTAATAATTCAAGCCATACCCATGCAAAGTATGTTTTCAGACAAAATGATGGTAGTGGTTAATCTTGATTGCCAACTTCCTTGCCTTGAGAGATACCTAGGGGGCTAGGAAAGTACATTTCTGGGTATGTCTGAATGGGTCACGGGGGTATGATCTCGGGAACTATATCTGGTCCCCGCCCCCTCCTCTCTGGATATTTTTCCGCTGTTTCCCAGATGCCCTGAGTTGAACAACTTTCTTCTTCCATGGCCTTTCACTGTGAGCCAGCTGACCATGAACTGGAACCTCTGAAACCATGAGCCAAAATGAACCTTTCTTCCTTTAAATTGCAGACATCAGGTGTTTTGTCCCAGCAACAGGAAAGCCAACCAATACAATGGCATTGCATTATAAATGAAAAGCTGGGAGACATATGGAAAAACCTGTAAACATCTAGAACTAGCACACTTATAATGACCACATGTCAAATCAGAAAGTATTTTGAATTGAATGAAAATGAAAATGCAAAATTTGTGGAAATGTAACTGAAGCAGTAGTTGAAAGTTATATGAACATTAAAATGCCTATATTTGAAAAAAGAAAGTTCTCAACAACTGTGATCACAGCTCCTACCTTAATGAAGTAGAAAAAGAACAAATGAAATCTAAAACAATCAGAAGAAAGGAAATAATAATGATCACAGTGAGAGTCAGTACAAATAAAAACAGGAAACAAGAAATTTGAGAAAAATTAATGAAGTCAAAAGACATTGAGAAGTCTTCAAACAAGATCGTACAAGAGGAATTTGAAGTCTGTGTTTTACTGAGAGTAACCAGAGCAGAAACAAAATCCAAATACAGTTCAACATCGCTTAACTGATTGAAGTCCCTAAGGGCTTAACAAAAGAGGCAGGCCTATTCCCATGCACAAATAACATAGCCCTCAGTTTCTGTTGTCCTATCCACTATGTCCAGCTCTCCAACAGAAATTAAAAGACTTATGAAAAAGGAATGTTCCAATTTCCAGTTGTAATATTAACTTTAATACATTTTGTTTCCAAGCCTGACAGAAAAGATCAAGACTGCCTGTTTGATAGAATTGCAGAAAGTTACGTGACACTTTTCATGAGCATACCACTCAGTCGAAAAGATGCATTCTTTCAGGTAAACATAGAAATTAACTCTGTGCTAATTATTTTTAGAATGAATGAAATAGAAAAATAATTATTTTAACACATATGAGATTATAGTTTGTTACTTTGGCTAGCAGAAGTGTCAGATGTAGAATAAGTGGTGGTGCTATTTTTAAAGTTATGATACTACCACTGCCCCTTCCCAGAATAGTGTATTCCATTACCTCAAAGTTTTACAGAATCTCCTTAGTGGTAGAAGATTTTTGTTTGGAAACTATTGATGTATTCTATTTATATTTTGTTTTCTTCTTCTTTTATTTTTTTGGTACTGGGGATTGAACTCGGGTCCTTGCACTTGCAAGGCAGGCCACTGAACCGCTGAGTATTTATATTTTGTTTTTTTTTTCTATTTACTTACAAAATGATCTATGATTTTCTTTTAACTTTATAATGAATCTTTTGACTCATTTGAGAGTAATTGACTGTATTATATGTAAGACCTAAGTACCTGTTACAGTAAAATACAATGCATAAAATTATGAATCAAATACTTATTTTGCTTTTCTGTTGTTACACTAAATAGTAAGACTGATTAAGACATAAATGTTTTGTAGTTTGTAAATGTTTTCATGGTTAAGGCATAGTGAAAATTTTTTAAATATCCTTCACAGTGAATCACACTGTAAATCTAAATCACACATTTGACAAATGTCCAACCTTGACCAACCTCACAATGACGTATATAAAATGTGGTAAAGGGAAATCAGTAGTGGACTGAGAATGAGGAGATGACTTCATGTTTGTTCTCCGATACAAATTACCAAGGTGATCTTGATAGACCACTGAGCCTCTCAGGTTCATAGCTAGGTGGTTGGTTAGAGCCATGACTTAAATTGTTATCTTGTGGAGTGGTGACATTCTGAAAGATAAACTAGGATTTTATCTGAAAGATGAACTAGGACTGAAAATGTTTTTTCTTATTTTCCGGAAAAAGTTAATGAAAGCTTGCTAATTTTATGAATTAATTACCTAGGGATAACAAAAACAGCTGCTACTCCTAATCATACTCTTTAGGTTAGTCTGTCCTTTTGTGGATCTTGTATTAATGTGTGTTAACTGAATGTGCCTAACTTACCTACACAGTTTGATAAAACCAATCATGTTTTAACAATGGACCCGTAATAAAAGGATAACAGGCTTGTTTAATGTAAACTAAGAAGGAAAGAAATAGCAGGACCATTGCATATCCCTCTTTCTCTAGTACCTGGTCCTGCTGTTATGATCAAATGTTCTCTTTTGGGATGGCTGTGTCTTTTATTTTATGTCTGTATTGTGATACTGGGAGTTGAACCTAGGGTCTTCACACTAAGTTGCATCCCAATCCCTTTTTACATTTTCTCTAATTTGAGAAAGAATCTCATCAAATCTCTGCATTGCCCAGCCTGGGCTCCAACTTGAGTCTCTTCTGCCTCAGTCTTCCAGAGGGCTGGTATAATAGGGATATGGCCTCATCTCTCATGGACTCTTTTCCACTGTTTTTAACTCATTGAAGTAAGCAAGGGTTTCATTACTCTTGATTCACTTGATTTATCTAAGGAAGAGAAAATGTTAATGTTTAAGGATAAAAATATTATCCTCACTTTCTACAAATTAATATAAACCAACAGATACTTAGTGTAGTGTTTGCTTCCTTTCTTCCAGTATTACACAGTGATACTCCTTTACAAATTTTCCAAACAGGTTGACACTTGATCTCCTTTCCTTCAGTCTCCAGAAGGTGGAATGTTCACAAAAGACTTTAGAAATTCCCCTTGTTTGGAGCCGCACGCCGGTAACCCCAGTGCTCATGGAGATTGAGACAGGAGGACAGCAAGTTTGAACTCAGGCTCTGCAACTTAGAGACTCAATGGGACCCTGGGTGTAAAGCCTCTGAGTTCAATCCCAAGTCCCACAAAAACAAAAGAAAAGATTTTCATTGTTATTGTGGATATAATTTTATATTCTCAAAATATAGTATCTGACATCTCTAGTAGTAAAATGTCCATGGTTCATTCAGTAAAACTGAGTTCATCAGTATCTGACTGCGTCCTCTCCTTTGCCATACAAATCCTTGCTCCTCGGAACATCATGGAAGCCTTAAACTATTTATCAGCAATTTGAGCACCATCAAGCTAGGTAACCATACCAGTTTCCTGTTGTTACCGTACCAAATTTTGAGAAACTTAGTTGTTTAAAGAAGCATTCCCTTAGTACAAAAGGCCAGAAGTCTAAAATGAATCTTACAGAACTAAAATGAAGGTGTCAGCAAGGCCGTTTTCTGTTGGAGGCCCAAGGACAGAATCCACTCCTGGCCTCTTCTGTCCTCCAAGGGTCGCGGCACAGTTTGCTTTATCACTGCATCTGTCCAGTGTCTGCTTCTGTAGACACATTGCCTTCCCGGCTCTTTGGTCAACTTCCCCTCAACCTCCCTCCTATAAAGACACTTGGGATTACATTTAGAGCCCGTGGGTAATCCAGGTTAATTTCTCCCAGAGTCTTCAACTTAACCATCCCTGCAAAACCTCTTTGCCGTATAAACTGATGTCCGCAGGTTCCAGAGACTAGAACACGTTTACCAGTCCACCACAGCAACCTTTCAGGACCCCTCCAGTTATAAAACTGTGCACAATTAAGGGCTTACTGTGTGATGGTAAATACTTAACTGAATACAGAATACCAAAACAGTGATATAAATTTGTCTTTAATGTAAAAATATGATATCCGTGTATTGTTTAGTCATTTCTGAGAGAAACTTGTTTAGAAATTCGAAAGCCTATGAGATATGGGGAATGCCATATATCTGATTATGATTTCAATATTTAAACCATACTAATTACAATATGTAAACCCACGTATACAAGCTCCAGTCATTTAAAAATATTTTTTATTTTGATGACCCACGTACCATTTTCTGCAAGTTTAAATGAAATAAAGGGCTAATTATCAAACTATCATAATTGCTAGTATTTATTCAAATTAAATTTTTTTTCACAAAATGTCAAAAATCATATTGACTTGATTTCAGCTTTTCTTTATTCATGTCCCTCACTGTTACAGACAGTAATAAAATGTTTCAATGCAAGCTATTAGAAATATATATTTTTACAAAGTGATAAGACCTTAAATAGTTAAGGTATATAAAATATAAATTAACCTAACATGACTCCATCTGGTAGGTGTATCCTGATTGTTTGACACAAGCTATCTATGCAACGTTCCTGGAAGCATTTCCAGAATCCAGTAAACTCTTTAATGATCAATTTAAAGAAGATCTGGGAAATAACATTTTTCTTTGGATGTCAGGTATGAATATATTACTTAAGTAATAAATATTTTCGTTCTTACAGTTTTTGAATTGGTGTAGTTTACTGCACTCAAAATACTGGTCATTTTTATTTATTTATTTATTTATTTGTGGTACCAGGGATCACACTCAGGACCTTGCACTTGCAAGGGAGATGAGGCACCACTGAGCTAAATCCCCAGCCCTATTGGTAGTTTTTATACACCAATATAGATGTGTCAATGTCTGTGTTTTTTAAAAATGCTTATTCTAAAAATTGTATTATCAAAATGAGTTATTAACTTTAGGAACCAAATAACTTTATAAGCAATGAAATTGTAGAAAACTGGGTTGTGTGTGTGTGTGTGTGTGTGTGTATATATATATATATATACAAAATATATCCTAAATATGGAAGATAAATATTTTCAGTTGCTATAAAGAACAGACAAATTTGACAGGTCAGTTATGGACTGAACTGTGTTGGAACACTAATATTCCTCTCCTCATAAGGTGGCCACGTTTGCAGATGAGACCTTTCAGGAAACGGTCATAAGGGTGAGCTAGCTCAATACTGTGATTGTCCCAGGATGGTGGTTTAGGAGACACCGGTCATTTCTGGCAGCCACCACCACCAAGGAAAACAGTTGACTAGCCATGGACAAAAATACCCCTAGCACAGGCTCAAGAATCCAATTAGGAGCCCACAGCGACACAGTGGATAAAAAAAATAGAATAACCACCAAGAAAGATCACTGGGAGATTGGCAAGTGTGAACTCTTCGGAGATGGCCAAGAACAGAGGAGGGTGGAGGCACCCGGGACCAGGCGTGTGGCCCACTCCACAAAAGACCCTGGCAGGCCTCTTGCAGAGGGCTCCCGAGGCCTCCCAGCCGCTGCCAGCCCCCTGTAGCTCCCACGGTGGATGTGCCCTTAGTGTTTGTCAACGCAGGGCTCAGAGGCCTGATCTGCAGAGGACCCAAGTGATTTTTCCACAGTGGATTTAACCAGCAGCTATGGCTTTGGTGGATCTGCTGAAGAGGGAGATGCTGCTACACTCGCGCTTTGAGGAAGAGCCACTGTTGTACTGGCCCAGGGCCGCCACATCGCCAGATGAGCACGCACCAGGTGTTGGAGCTGCCGCCTCTCTGTGCGTACCTCACTTCTCTAGCCACTCCATACATGCCTGTGCTGTGGACACTGGAGCCACAGCGGTCTGCAGGTTCCCAGACCCTCGGGCAGAAGGCCACACCTGGAACATGGGAGCTAGGGCCCCGGTGGGAGTGTCCAGGCCCCAAACCTCAGGGAGGCTGATGCTCTGACGCTAGCCGAGGGCATTCCTCACCTCCTCATGCCCAGAAGAGCCCACAGCTCATGCACCGTCACCAGCGCTACAGCAGGGGCACAAGCACCACTCTTGTCCTCATCTGGAGGCCTCGGTCCCTCTAAATATCGCCATGCACTATTCCCCAGACCCCAGAATTGCCGTCCTCCATATGTATCCATCCTGCAGGGCCTGCGTCCATGGCTGCTCCACTCCAGGTACTGTGTACCAGGCACGGCTGTCTCTGCTGCCACGAGCATGCCCACAACTACACTGGACCCCAACAGAGATCTGCTAAGGCGGACCGATCCCATGGGAGAAAAGGCAGAAGTAGTTGTCAACACTGAAGACTCACCGGCCCTCACAGCTGAGGGAGGACAGCAGTCATCTTAGGAAGTGAGCTGCAGCGTCCTTCCCAGAGCCAGCACACTCCCCTCGCCTACCTTGCACTGCACCAACCACCCCTAGATGACAGTCCTCCCCTGCTGAAACCAGTCTGTAAACCCACGCTCAAGCAAAGGTACAGACTTCAACCTGAGGCAACAGGAAGCACCCACACGCATGCAGGCCGATGGAGCAATAATCCTCCAGGAACTTACCCAAAGGAAATGGAGATTTACCGATTCCTCACTGACAAACAACTCAGAGTGATTGCTTTAAAGATACTTAGTGTGTTGACAGACAGCAACATCAGGAGAATATTTGGATCAAAACTAGTTGATGAAACAAAGAGATAGGAATTTTTTTTGTTTAACTCTGAAGCTAAAGAACATCTGCAACCTTGAAGACAGATACTTTGAAATAACCCAGCTAGGAAAAAGAAACACAAGAGCACAGAAAGCCTACAGGACTTAAAGGGCATAAAAAGTGATAAACAGAATTTTCTGTAGTATGTGTAGTTCTGTAGACTGCTGCACATATGCACTTGTACAAGATTTTCTTTATACTTCTAGTGGTTCGATGTGTGTTGTATCTTTAATCAAAAAAATAATTCCTTTTCACTTAGTAAAATTCATAGGAGTTAACGCTGAGCTGCTGCACTAGAGTGGTAGGCACTAAGGTCCCAACCAAGGGCTCATGACATGCCTCCGCAGTCCAGAGATGGGGAATGGAAGTATGTAGCTCTTAAAGTAATTCATGTCTCGGGGTCCAGTACACAGCCTATGAGCTCCTTACCACACCATTGCCCTGGCATGGGACTGCATGCGCTGGGAAGATGAGGTGCCTTTTCCTAATTGTCACAAGGACACCAGGAAACTCCCTTTGATCACTTCGCAGTCCTCGTGGCTCTGTATGATGAAGATCTGAAAAATCACTTCTATCTGGCCCTGGAGAAGTGGCATCCAGACTTGTGCAGCAAGATGGCCCAAATGCATGGCTTCGTCTTAGTGCCCTGCAGAGAAAGCCTGACCAGCAGTGTTCAGTCCACCTGTCCGTTCGAGTCCTACACTTTGATACCTGTGGAAGGACATTTTCAGACATTAAATGGAAAGGATGTCTACACAAGGTAACAGGATTAAATTAGGAGCTGGTTTTGCCTGTTTTCTCTCAGTGCCCATCCTCTTTGAAGAAACTTTCTACAGTGAAAAAGAAGAAAGCTTCAGCATCCTGTGTACAGCTCATCCTTTGGAAAAGAAAGAGTTCAGAAGAGTTGGCAGCCCCCTTTTACACTGAAAACCATGTGAGAGAATTTTGGGGGAGACAATCTGAGAAATTTGACAGGAAGTTTGCCTCTTTCCACCGAACATTCCGAGAACGTGAAAGGAAGAGCCTCTGTCGCCACGTGGACCCGGTGGATGCCCTGTACACCAGACGCCTCCAGCAGCTTCTGAGGGACTCTCACCTGAAAGTGCTTGCGAAGCGGGAGGCCCAGATGATCCTGACAAAGCAGACAGCGGAGATGTCCGTCCATCTCCATATTTATCATCCCATCTGGAAATATGGGGACATGGAGGCAAACGAGGATGCTGCCTTTAACGAAATCCCAAGAAGCCTTCAAGATGTCCAGCAGAAAGATACTCTGGTGAGACCTGAATTCAGCTTCAGCATCCCTGTCGCTCAGCTGAACAAGTGCACTGTGCCCTAGCAGAAGCTCCTCTGCTTGCAAGAAGAGGTGCAGCTCGTGACCCAGCCTCCCAGCCGGAGAGTGCACTGATGATCTTCTCTCAGTCTTGTTATATTTGCTGGTGAAAACAGAGATCCCTAATTGGATGGCAAATTTGAGTAACGTCAAAAACTTCAGATTCAGCAGCTCAACAGAAGATGAATTGGGATACTGCCTCACCTCAATTGAGACTGCCATCAAATATATTTGGGAAGGAAGCCTTTTCATTAAACTACCTGAGTTGGAGGGCTTTGACAATGGACTCTTTCTTAAGCAGAGGATGAGCTTACTGTCTCAGATGTCCTCAATTCCTGTTGACCACCTGTTTAAGCACATCGCCTCAGGAAACCAGAAGGAAGTGGAAAGACCTCTGAGCCACGAAGACCACGACAGAGATGCCGTCCAAAAGATGTGTCACCCACTATGCTTCGGGCCGACTGTGAGAAACTGGTTTCTGGGAGGCTGAATGATCCCTCTGTTGTCACTCCACTCTCCAGAGATGATAGGGCACACACCTCTCCACGTGGCTGCTCTCTGTGGGCAGGCGTCCCTCATTGACCTCCTGGTTTCCAAGGGTGCTGTGGTGATTGTCATGGGCTATCACGGCTCGGCTCCACTCCACTCCACCTGGCGTGTCAGAGGGGCTACCAGAGCGTGACGCTGCTGCTGCCACCCTACAAAGCCAGCGCCAAGGTGCAAGACAACAATGGCAGCACCCCACTGCACCTGGCCTGCACCTAAGGGCACAAAGATCGTGTGGAGGCTTTGGTCTACTATGATGTGCAGTCCTGCAGACTAGATATGGGCAATGAGAAAGGAGACACGCCCCTTCACATAGCTGCATGCTGGGGTTACCAAGGCATCATAGAAACCTTGCTGCAGAATGGGGACCCACCGAGATCCAGAACAGGCAGAAAGAGACGGCGCTCAAGTGTGCATTAAACTCAGAGCACCTGTCCATAATGGAAGCCCATCATCTGTCCTTTGAAAGGAGGCCAGGGCCTTCTGAGGTCCCTGCACTGTCTGCTCAACACTCTGAGGACCCTATCCATCAGGACTCCTCCACCTCCAGCTTCTCTGCCATGTTGGCCAGCTCAAAACAAGAGGACCCCTAGAAGGGCTACAGAGCAGTTGCCGATGGAGACCTGGAGATGGTGCGCTGCCTTCTGGAGTGGACAGAGGAGGACCTGGACAAAGTGGAGGATGCTGTCAGCGCAGTGGATCTTGAATTCTGTCATCCCCTGTGCCAGTGCCCCAAATGTGCTCCAGCTCAAGAGAAGCTGGGAAATTATATCATTAGAATCTTATTTACAATTATTATTGACAATATGTAATAGGAAGAAAAGGGCTAAAGATGTAGGGGAAGTGGGAAAGGTAGGGGGAAGGAAATAAGGGAAAAGAAAAAATATGAGAAAATGAAAAAATGGAAATAAAGTTTTTGTAACTAGGGAAGGGAGGAGGGGGAGAAGGGAGGACAGGGGTATGGGGAAACAATGAGAAGCAAGACCTGTCATGAAAAGGTACAACATCCCAATGATGAATGTAACTGTACTGTATACCTAAAATGTACCAATAAACTCAATGAGGAGGAAAAAAAGAAAAGAAGCTGGGTAAGATTCCTACAAGTGTGCTGGGGCTGAATGTGACCAACCAGAACAGCTCCTCCCCAGTGCACATCACTGCTCTGCCCAGGCACACAGATCTTGTCCCCTGCCTGCTGTAGCACAATGCCAACCGAGTACCAGGAACATAAACCAGAAGGGCCACTTTCAGAAGTGGTGAAGTACCTACTGGGTTCTAACACAAAACCCAGTAAACAAGGACCTAAGTGGGAGCACACCCCTCGTATATGCCTGCTCCAGGGGCCATCATGAGGTTGCAGCGCTGCTATTGCAGCAAGGGGCATCCATGAATGCATCTAACAATAAGGGAAACAGCCCTGCATGAGGCTGTGACAGACAAGCATGTCTTCATAGTGGCACTGCTTCTGCTTCACTGTGCATCAGTGCAACGAGCAGCAGTGCACAGCTATCGGCTCTGCAGAACAGAATTCAAAAATAATGGAGTCACTTGAAGTAGCAGTGCCTCATTAGATGATGTTGCTGAAACAGACCATGAGGAGTACGTCACTGTCAAGATCAGGAAAAAATGAAACTCAAAAATGTATGAGCTACCAGATGAACCTTTTACAAGACGGTTTTACTTTGTTCACTCAGTTGGTGCGTTTAAGGGAAGGACTTCAAGGGAGAATATAGTAAGAGGTAGAAGAGTCCCTAGTTTCACACAAGGTTGTTTGCATGAGCCAGAAAGGCAAAGAGGTGCACAGAACCAGTCACCTGCCAGAGCAGAGCAGCCCCCAGATGGCTGATAAGGGAAGCGATGACCTGCACAAGGAGAGGCCCACAGGGCAGCAGTCGGCTCCTGGGAACTGGTTGATGACGTGCTCATGGCCAAGGACCCAGCGGTTGCTGTCAGCCTCACCCCCTCTCAGGAGGCTACTATCTCCCAGCCTCGACAGCAGTGGGGTTTGATAAGTTTGCTGCTAGCAAGTGAGCACGCCAGATGACACTCAGCATGAATACAGCTTAAACCTAAATGTATTTTAAATAACTGGCTTGAGAGACTCTGTCTTCAGAAGGTTCCCAAAAGCTTTTCTGTGGCTAAAAGAGTGAACGCAATAAAAACTTTTCACCATCTCTCTCCTCTTCAAAGCTAATGAATATAGAAATTCATTAAGTGTCCTGCTCCCTCTTCTAAGAATGTGTGTTTCTAAGTATTTGAATTTCCTGGCTACAGGGAGAGGGTTCACTGTCAGGTTCTGACCGCCTCCTACTGCGAGGTGCTCATCTCTGTGATAAATTAGCAAATCGTAGGCCAAGAGAATCCCTTCATCTGTGATAAGCCAAAGAGAAGCAATTTAGATTTCATGGCACTGTGGAGGCCAGGCAGAAACGTCACATCGAAATGAAGACATAAGTGGAACCCAGAAAATGTTCTTTGCAAAGCAGCACTTGAACAAAAAGACGCCTATGTGCCATTCTGACCTTCATCTTAGCGAGCACACGTAAGAGCTGCCCCACACCATGCGTATGGAGAAAGCTGGGTGTAGTTTTCCTTCTAGTACACACTTGGCCAATGCATGTGTGCACCTAGAGCAGTGTTCCTAAGAACCTCCTCCCTCAAGGGCAGAGGACAGTGGACAGCAGCAGAGTACTTGCCTAGGATGAGTGAGGCCCTGGATTTGATCCCCTGCACTACCAAAAAATAAAAATAAAATTTAAAAAAGAACCTCTTAAAGGTCACGCCTAATGAACGGATGGTTACAAGAGAGTAGGTTTGGCACATCTCTCCTTAGTCTTTGATTCAAAATCAAAACGTATAGCACAAACCAGGCCAGTGTTTCTTTAAGTTAGAATTTATTGCTGTGTATTACTTTTTATAAATTTCTATAGATTATACTGCTATTTTTTTATGTTACTGGCCTAGAACTACAAACATGGATTTATCCTTAGTACATTTTCATATAACTTTGTAATAGGAAAATGGTTTTGTGCACATTCTTGGAAATACTTGTGTACATATAGAAGGGATGGATTGGTTACTTTTCTACAAAATAATTTATGATTTCTAATATTCTAAAGTGCCATGGGTATGTGCCAAACAATGGAAAAGAAACAGTAAACTTTGAAAAGCAAGAGTTTCTAGAAAAGAAAATCTGTCTTTGTTGTCTAACATAAATCTTCATTTAATTCAGTTTAGCTACATTTCTTCTGTTTACAATGACAAATAGGTCAAATAATTTAATACTGGATAGATAGATATTCAGACCTTTAATTATGGTTCTTTCACCACAGATATAAAGAAATTGATTTCACTTCCTCCTTCCTAGGGAAAACACAGTGAAGTCTTCTGCCCACAGTTTTGCCCTCTTCCTCTGCCTCCTGGCTGATCCTGGGCCCCTGTGTGACCCCCAGGGAGTGGCATGACCCATGGCACTCAGCTGGTCTGGTGGCTTTCCCGCACATCAGATTTTCTATAAGTACCCAGTAATTTAAATATAGGCAATCAAAGAAGCACTCAAGTGAATTCAACTGAAGTCTTCTGCAAAGTGATCTAGTGGCAGCTAATGCTACAGAGGTGATGACTATATCTAAAAACGCTTTGAAAACTCTAATTCATTAGTGAAATCTGGTAAATAATCCTCAATAAACACTGATCACCTCAAAAATACTGGCTACGTTTGAGTATGTCAGTGTCAATAATAGCGATAGTAACAATGCTAGCTCGTGTTCTTACAGCACTTTTCCATTTACTGAACGCTTCAACATACATTTGAGCTAATCCCAAAGAACTCAAAAGAATTTATATAATTCTTGTTTTTAAGGCTGAGTACAGATTTTTAGAGTGACCAAATGATTTACATAATACTACCCAGGTTAAAAAGAACAAAAGCAGAGCTTTTTCTGTTGGAAAGGTGAAATATGTAAATCAAAATGTTTTGACAAATTAGAAGGTATTTTCAAGATCATAATGTCTTCATCTATGTGTACATTTTATATTCTCAGGCCTAAAACCTCAGAAAGGCTTCTGGGCCCATTGGAAATTGAAAGAGCTCTCTTCAACCACCATGCATGGCAGCAAGAAGGTGCGTGCAAAGTCAGTACAGGAGGCGATAGAAAACAGTCAAGAGCGCATAGCAGCCAGTAAGTGCACTGTCCATAAATGGCCAACACCAAGGGTGTTAGTTATTTATTAGTCATTTTCTGATAGTTTTTTGTGAGAGTCTTTAAATAACATTTGATTTATAGATTGTTATAATGGTAATAGGTGCTTAAGTCCTTTTTCTATTTGCCTGTTATGATATTTTATATTGATTTTTAGAAGCTTTGTGTTTCTGTGGACACTACAGATATTCTCACTTTTAGCGAACTGGATAATACTAATGTATTTTTATAATAGATAAGTTTAACATTTTTATTCAGTACATTTAAACTATGTTTGCTTTGTAGTTCCAGCTTTGTGGAATTTTTATCAGTACTTAACCTATCATAAAAATACCTGTCCAGGGGCTGGAGATTTAGCTCATTGGTTCCGCCGCCTGCCTTGCAAGCCCAAGGTCCCAAGTTTGATCCCCTGTACCAAAAAAATAATAATAGTAAAAATAAAAAATACCTGTCTGTATCTTTCCTTTTTCTTTCTTGTCTCCATATTTGATTTAATTCTTTAATCCACTTGGAATTTATTTTGTTATAAAGAAGATGGTTATTTTCCTATATGATGTTTTCTTCTAGAGGCTTATTTATTAAATCATCTGCTAACAGACCATTTGGAATATCAGTTTACTTGGATATATTTGTGTATTCTCTTCTTTCTTGAGCTCCGTGCTGAATTTCTGTACTGAAGCCAAACTCCTTAATTGCTTTTCACTGATAAGTTTTATAAGGAAAGCTTACGTCTCTCTTCTTTATGCTGTGTCTCCAGTTCCAGACATGGATCTGAAGCTCTGGCCTCATCTCTGACAGATTCAATCTGAATACAGGCGTTTAAAGGTCCCCAGGTGATTTCATTGTGCAAACCACTAGTGTACAGGGAGCCACCTTTCCAGTGTGTTCCTTGAGATAGGCGAGGGAAGAGGAGGACTAACCTGCTCTTCTTAATTTAGTTAAAATTATTTAATGCATTCATTACTGCCTTTCAGATTTGGACTCTTTGAACTTAATAATCCTGTTGGAGCTTGGTTTTTCCCTTCTGTTGTCTTAAAATCACCTTCTATGATTTCTGTTGATAGTAGTTACATGAAATCCTCATTTGCTAATGTCAGCATTGGTGGTATCCTAGTTTACGTATGCATTTGTTATGTTGGGGTCTTTCCTAGGGATCTGGTATGGAAGGAGAGGTTTCCACTGTCCTCTATTTTTGCACATCTGTTTTTACTTCTGACCTTTACATGTGAATTATTACTTGACTTAATATGAAATTAAGACATTTTAGAGCCCCTTTAATTTTTATTAAAAATATAGCTTACAGAAAAGTGATATGAATAACACAAAGAACTGTCTTACATCCTTTACCCAACATTTATTTGCATTCTGTCCTACTTTTAATCATTTTCTTTTTTATATAAGTATTTAAAGCTATAACTTTCCCTAAGCTCTCATTTAGCTGTTCTCTACAAATTTAGATATGATACATTTTATTATTTAATTCAAAATATTTTCTACTTTCCATAACTTCTACTTCAACCTAACAGTTATGTAGGTGGCTATTGTTTAATTTCCAAATATTTGGAACTTATCTAGATAGTTTATGATTATATGATAAAGTTATGGGATATATATATATATTATATATATATATATATATATATATATATCTTTCAAGGAATAGAAAACCCATGCTTTATGTATACTGCAGTTTTATGATTATTTCTCCTAATCTGAAACATATTTAAAACGTAATTTGTTCTTCTTAACATTTGAGACTCTTATTGTCGTGGGGACTTGACTTTTTTCCAGAATTTGAACAAAAAGAACTCTCTGTTTTTGTTTTTAATGAAATAGACAGTGGATAAAGTTTGCCTTCTAAACAAACTGGCATATCTCCCTTTTTAGGACTGGAATGTAAGCAGTTATAGAATTTCAGTATCTGGAATGACTCAGGGTTTATAAGCCAGCTTCCCTGAACCAGTGTATTGTCAGATTATTTATAAGCCTGAAGTTTTAATATTCATGTCTCTTATTGTGGTACAATGCCATTTAAGCTTTTAAATATAATTGAAGATCTTTTTAAAAACTATTTTATACTCAATCACTAAACCCAATTTTTCCTTTTCATCTGAACTTTGAGGCTAAAACATGGATACACTTCATGATTTTTAAACTATACTTTATTTATTTATTTATTTTACATAGGACCAAATTGCCTTTTTTATTTATTTTTTCTCTCATTGAGTTTATTGGCACATTTTAGGTATATAGTACAGTTACATTCATCATTGGGATCTTGTACCTCTACATGACAGGTCTTGGTTCTCATTTTTTCCCCTTGTCCCTGCCCTCCCTTCACCCCCTCCTCCACTCCCCATTTACAAACACTTTATTTCCATTTTTTCATTTTCTCATATTTTTTCTTTTCCCTTATTACCTTTCCCCTACCCTTCCCACTTTCCCTACACCTTTAGCCCTTTTCTTCCTATGTCACATTGTCAATTATATCATTAGGATATTATGTACTATTATAGTTTTTCACACCAGAGACACTATTCAGTATTTACATGTGTGATTTATTTATTTCACTTAGGAGTATTTCCTCAATATGTATCCACTTTTAAACAACAACCAGGGAGAAAAATCTTTATATTCAATTAACACATAACTTTTAAGTATCTAGTGCACATTACTGTAATTGGTGCTATGCAGAAATAAAAATAAAGAAATATAGTAGTTAATTATACACTAAGATTATTTGATATTTAGCAAGCGACATTATAGAAATACTTTAAGTAATAGCCAGATGGCTTATGACTCTATACATCATAAAGGCTACTTCAGTTTTAACTTACATCTCCGTCATTTTGCTGTCTTTTCACCTTTAGCATCACTCAGGCAGAAAAAGAAAAGAAACTTTAAAACTCAGATATAAAGCAGTGCTTTGAGAATTAAGCTGGTGCAATCTTCATATTGTGCTTTTTATTACAATATCATTGAAAGAAAACCAAGAGAATTACACAGCAAACAAATGAGGAAACTCCCAAAACACCACTGAGAGGCTCAGATATACAAACTCCCAAAGCCATAAAAATTTAGTAAATCATATTATTGTGCCGCTATTGCTTAAATTTTGTGCTATGTGGAGAAAGGGCTGTGAACAGAGGATAATGGACAACACAAGGAGTAAAAAAGAGGTAGGCCGGCCAAAAAACCGAAAGTTGGCTGTATTTTTACAGAAGTATCTATATTTGATCATTATGAATTATCTTTCTTAATAACTGAGATTTAAATTTAATTTAGCTTTTAAAACCGTGGGTTTCTAGGACCTTATGGAATGCAGTGCTAATATAGTATATTGATTGACATGGAGGTGCCAGGCTATGGAGAAGTGAAATCCAATAATTTAAATATTCTCAGAGATTTAAGCATCAGTTTGCACAAAACAAAGTAGTGTGTGTCTGTATTTATTGCAACAACCACATTTGTTCCCTGCTTAGATATGAGAGTGATGCTCTGTGATAATATGTGTTCATTATTCTGCCACTGGATTGGAGTCAGTTTGTGCGTTCATGCAGTGAATTCCTACTGAGTGCCTTCAGCATTTACTGATCCCTTACTTATAGTTCCTGAGCATTTCTGAATATTTATATAGCCCTTCACAGATACTCCTTAGTATGCGTGGGATACACAAGTGCATACCCCAGGCCGTATCCTTTTTACGGCAGAACTTAGGGCTAGTGAGGAGAGGTGTTTATATTTATAGCACGTGTGGAGTAGGTATCCCTACCTCACAGCTCCAGATATGTGGTACAAATTCAGTGAGAGGAAAAAAAGGAGCCTCCAACTGAGAGGATTGCAGGGGAAACAGAGTCCCAAGAAGATGGCCAAGTTTCCATTAGAATAAATGAGGAAGATATGTAAGTCTAGCAAAATATCAGGGAAAGCTTTTACTGATAAAGCCCATCTTGCAATGTGGACTTTCAGGATCATATCAAACTGGAAGTCAACTGGAACGTTAACAAGAACAACTCTGAAACTGTTCTCTTTGGTAATACATATTTCTCTAGAACAACTAAACTTATTGAACCTACCATTCACTGTGTGTGTGTGTGTGTGTGTGTGTGTGTCCCACTAGGGCAATAGAGATCTTGTTTGGCAGTTGTTTAATATATGTATACTTATATTTAAGACAAGTGTAAAGTTTAGGATGGATAGGGCCAAAGTACAATGCCAGTTACTGAAGATGTCCCTCGGTGTATCAGGGTTTACATCCTGCTGATCCCACCTTGTCAGAAATACATGTAATACACCTAACTTACCTAACATCACAGGTTGGCCTGCCCTCTTTCAACATGCTTGGAAACATTGCAAGAGCCTGCAGTTAGAGAAACTCACCTAACACAAAGCCTACTGTATAGGAAGTGTGAGCTATCTCTTGTAATTATTGAGTGCCATGTATCCAAAAATGCCAGCACAACATACACTGAGTGTTGGCCGTGTACCCTCATGACTGAGGCAGACTGGAGCTGTGGCCGGCTACCACCCAGCATTAAAGAAAGGATCACGCTGCACATTGCCAGCCCAGAAAATGGAGCTTCAAGGGGCAATTTCTCCTGAACGTGAATGACTCACCTAGTCATGAAGTCAGAAAGTCACAAGTTCAGCCGTTGTGACTTTGGAGACATCTGTGTATACTCTCTATGCCTCATAGTCTACAGATTTAAGAAAAAAAAATTTCTGGCAGTCTGTCAGCTGTCACTTAAAGTTCTTAGTAGTTCCAAAGGCTCATTTGTTCCAAATCTGATCTTGCTAAAATTGGTTATATATCTGTGACCAGGTAATCTTTAAAATGATTGAAGTATGGATTTTATCACCATTGTTAAAATGCCTTATGCTGTACCAGTGATTAAACACATCTGTACACAATTTGTGCATGTCCCCAGATCCCTCTGTGTAAGTATGCATTTGAAGAAGATGCAGGCATATATCCATGG